TGCAGACAAAATAAGATCAAAAGAAAAGTTTTTTTAAGGAAATGGATAAAATTAATTGATAAAATCTATCATTAATTAACTGATATTTGTCATTGGAAGTGAACAAAACCGTCATCATCTACATCTCGACGTTTCCTGCAGACAAAATAGTTTTTAAGGAAGATGTCACTTAATAAAAAACTACTAGTTGAGTTACTTAATCTTCGGAGTTTTTTAAAAACTTTCTTCAATAACTTCCAGTTTCAAGCTACCCAAAGCAAAGCAAAGGTTTAGGCAAGGACTGGATGAGTTGTCGACCTGAATGCCGTTCTGCACTGGACAATCTGGAATGGAAGGGGATTGAGTTATACTGAATTCATGGGAAAATACGTAACGACCATCAGATTCGTCAGAGGTTTTCTTCCATTAGGCCACAATGCCACAGCGCTTTTTGCATTAGGCGATTCCATTCTTTTCATGCTAAAAGTTATCAAAAGTTTTTCGTTTGCTTGGTATACCCTCTCAGTCTAATCTTGCTTCTTACAGAAATTGATATTTTTTTGTATTGAATTTTGATCTTACTTATGCAAGGTAAATTGCCCGCACCAGCTGTGTGCACTACTTATACAGTGATCCATCTAGCCCAAACGCTCTTAAAATGCTTTAAAGAAAATGTCTATAGATTCAACGTTAAGGCCATCGTTACTAGGTAATATTTTTTCAGGATTTGAATTTCATTGGCAGATGCCAGGTATTTTCTACCCCTATTAAACCTATTAAACTCATTGATTTATTAAGGATCGATAGCGTCGTCACTATCTTCTTCATCGTCACCATCGTCTTCTGAATCTCGGCGTTTCCTTCGTGAGTCTAAGAGTAAACGAAAGCCAAAATATATCTTCCACGAGACAAATAAGCAAAAATTTTGAAACAAAGAGATGCTTTTTTGTACTCAGATCTCCTGGTTTGCTTTGGAGAGACATAAAAAAGCTCACTGGCACAAGTTCAATTGAGAAACATCCTCTGTATGGTATTGCAACAGGATTTCAACAAACCTTTTTTGTCTAACAACAAATAACTAATGCTAACTAACGGTTTACTAAGCGCATGAATTACCGCCGTCGTCGCTATCGTCGTCGCTATCATCTCCATCGTCTCCATCATCATCTCCATCGTCCCGTTTTACACGTACATCTGGTTCTGCTTCTTCTGGCAATGGCCGTGCAAGGCAAGTACAAGCCAACAGGGCCAAGAAAAGAAGTGCAAAGATTGGCTTAATCATTTTGCTTCTGCTGTGAAGGGAACCTGTCGTGTCCAGCGTTTTGCAAGTAGTAGCTCGTGATGAATTCTTACACTGAATCCCTTTTTATAGCATTTTGCTTACAGATATTGTAAGCATGAAAAGTGGCATCATCAAAGAGGTCGAAGTCGAGGAATCATTTGTTATTTACAAGGAGTTGCTATGAGTGATCCGTTTGTTCTAGACAGTAAAACGCCTTTCATAAGTGCTTCCTTGGAAATATTGTGTTAGGTGCCCTNAGTAGCTCGTGATGAATTCTTACACTGAATCCCTTTTTATAGCATTTTGCTTACAGATATTGTAAGCATGAAAAGTGGCATCATCAAAGAGGTCGAAGTCGAGGAATCATTTGTTATTTACAAGGAGTTGCTATGAGTGATCCGTTTGTTCTAGACAGTAAAACGCCTTTCATAAGTGCTTCCTTGGAAATATTGTGTTAGGTGCCCTGTATTATGTCGCTCTGGCTGTTTTAGAATGAATAGCACTGATTGCAAATTACGATAAGGGCAAGAAAAGAGTAATCGTGAAAAATAACAAGCTGAAAATCTTCTGCGTAAAAGGTATAAAAATGAAAAAAATATCTCTTCACCTGTAATAGCCTTTTTTGGCGAGATACGTACGCATATTGTTTTATTGCCCTTGTGTGGTTACTAAGCAACTCGTAAACCATCCGTTGTTTGCATGAAAAACATCAAATATTCTCTATTTATATTGTAAGGTACCTTGGTTAACTATTTGCCGCTAAAATGTCGCCTTTAAGGTTTTATAGCTGGCTTTATTTAGAAAGTCATTTACGAATTTCGAGATTTTTCTCGTACTTGCAATGACTATGAGTACAGGAAGAATAAATCGTATTCTTACCAGTTTCATAGTAGCTTACTCGTTCAAAACGAAATTAGAAAGGCAAGAAATGATGAATTGATTAGCTGTCGGTATTTTTTCAAGTGCAGTTATTTTTAATTTGATCTTGTTATTGTAAGGACGGAGGTATATTCGATGGCGACCTTCATTAACCAGTCATATTGTTGTCCTTGCGTTGCGTGAGGATACTTATACTGGTTAAAGGGGTTGAGTTAAACTACAACATAAGAAAATGAACTATATAAATTATCCCGTTTCCTTTTGGTTTTATTGTTTACCGCATTAAGTGACTTTTACGCTTTATATCAAACACGAGTAAGAGTGTCTCATTTGATAATCGAACATTGAAAATTGGTATGAAAAAAAGCACAGCTAACTACGTGTTGTCTTAATATCAGGTGAAACACGTTTTTGATAAAGATTCTTAAAGGATTATTAACCACACCTTTAAAAAACATGAAAGTAAAAGCTAGCAATGTTCTACGATAACTAGCATTGCGTTCTCAATTTTCCTTTTTTCATGTAACGTGTCAAAAACCTTTAGTCAAAGCTGAATGGGGCGGAAATCCATTACGAATGCTTGCAGCTGGCGCCTCAATACAATAAAAAATTCATTTATGTGAAGGAATTCTATTTGTTTTTTTTTTTTTTCCGGGGATGGCATGGTTAATGTTGTTTTCCACTCTGGCGGGATCCAAATTGTTTCTTAGTAATTAATTAATATGTAGTCTTGTTCACATTCTGGCTGATTCGTTTTCATTTTGTACACAAATGTGGCTTACCATATAGAAATCAGTTTGTTTTTATAACAATCCATGGCAAAAGCATTTCAATTAATTATATATGGCCGTCCAAAAGCAAGATTGCATTAGCTGCGTGAAGGCTCCTTGATTTCAACGCTTTCGCTGGTTTCACTGAGGGATTCCACAAACGTTCAAAGCTCTATAACTTGCTTCCTACTTGTATGGTGACCGCCGAGGTGAAAAAACATGCAAACGTCTTTAATAACAGATTTTATCCAGAAGTCGACAGCGAAAAATATTGTCAGTGAGGTTGTCTGGAATGTTCTTGTGGCTGGCTTTGATAAGCTATACACTTGCCTGTAGTTTATGATATTGTTGATGTTCTAATTCTCCATGCAGCTATCTGTCAGTTATTTTCAAATTGTCATAATTTGGTCGATCAGGATCGTCCGGTTTAGTGTATAGTCCTCAATGGTGATGGTCAAGGATGTTTGAACAAATGGGTGTGGAAGTCTCTTAGATTGGAAGTGCTAGTGTCTTACAAAAACATGTCCCAATGATTCTGTTATTGTGATGAGCTGATTTATGAAAAACTTCGAAGAATCTGAGGTATATTGGCAGGGATTGAGGAAAAAATACCTGATGGATCCTTCTTTCCAAGTACTCGTCAAGGTGGGGCTGACCCCGTTATCACGGAGGCCAGGCTTTTGGTTTCCTGAGAGACATACAAGCCCGTCTATTTGTCTTACTGTAGGGAGTGTTCTTTCTGGGCTTTTGATCGATGTTCAAGAACAATATGCAGGAATGTGGTGTAAATCTAACTTTCATAAGAAAGTATGTGAGCTAAATCCGAAGGTTTGACCATCAAAAGAAACTTTTAGCATAACGTTTTAATGGTATTATTTGAATCTATTTCATACAAATGAAAGCGCGTTAATAAATGTCCTTGGATTATGGGCGATTGTTAGGCGGCCTTGAACATGAAAGGTTAATGTAGCCTGAGTCTCGTGGACAACTGTTCCGAAGTTTCAGCAAATCAGAACTGAAAAAATTGTTCCAAACCGCATCTTAAAGCTCACTTAAACCTAAGTTGTTATTATGTCCTTGTATTATACTTGAGAACCTCAGAACTCTTTTGAAACGTGTTCACCAAGTAACTTGGTGAATGATTGTTCATAAACATCTCAACAACGTCTCTAGTCTACAAGCTTCAAAAACTGGAAGTAACGTAACTTGCCTTGAATTGTCGATCCGCAAATTCAGAGCAAAAATTAATGATTCTCTTTCCTGAAAACAGTATAGCAGAGACTTTCTGAACAAGTACTATACACAAGTATTATTAGAACACAATTCTTCCCATATGGCTTATGCTACTGTCACCAAGTTTATTTCCCAATTTATGTCGTCAAAAAGCATTCTAACTAGCTCTGAAGCAGCTATAATTGCTGTTGGACCATTTTAACGATGCTCAGCCTGTTATTTAAAATGTACCTTAATCTCGAGAGCACTGAGCTTATATTGATTATCTCTTCCATCTTACCCGTTGTTTTATCTCGTCTTGTGTCTTTTCGTCTCAAATATATTTTTATTAAGATTTAACGTATAGACTGTTATTAATTTTGTTTGTAAGGAAGTTCAGTACTATATCTTTCACTGAGAGTGTTTTTATGACAGTGTGTGATCAAGCAAACAAAAGAGCAGTTGTTAATACATTCCATCCAATCACGGGATCCGAAACTAATTCTTTCAAACTTTGACAGAGTTTTCTTTAGGTATACTGTTCGTTTATATGATAGAAGCAAACATATTGAGCATCTCTTGGTAGCATACACTCGATGGTGCCATGCAAAGAGGGGTGCGAAAATTCATCCGTCACTGACACACGATCTTTCTTTCATTTAATAGAGTTTCTTGGTATATAACAATTTGCCTTCTATCTGACAATTATTGATTTTTGCAGTGTTAATAGCTGCTATCATACGATTAGCACAATGATGAAACCTTTGAGTCAAAAGTCTAACTGGGCAGTGAATTCGTTAACTTCAGACTGGATTCTACAAGACAATTTGTTATTCCGCTGATAGCTGATCAATATTATTGGTCAATGTTGTTTGAGA